TTAAGTTATTTGATCTATAATTAAACATTTTGAATTTCTGTAAAGAAAATATCTTTTGTCTGATAATTTTTAATAGAGAAATAAGCTATTTGTTTATTAAAGATTTTTCTTTATTGATTTATTTAATAGACTTCTTTATCTTTTTTTATTTTTTTTTTTAAATTTAACAGCTATGTCTTAACTTTATTTAAACATTTGCAAGGCCAACTTTTTATATTCAAATTTATATTCTCATGTATCTGACTATTCAGCTGAAACTCACTCAGTTACCTAAATAGTACCTATATACAGTATGCTATAGTTAGTCTTTTAAATCTATACTATTAGATTTAGTTACCCAAACTTTCTTGTACTTCAGATAGTCTCAACAACTCAAAAAAAAAAATGTTACTATCTAAAAGCTCTAAAGCTAACTAACAAAGTAAACCTTGCTCCAAGTTAAAAACTTTGTTAGGCAGTAACATAATAGAACAGGCTATATAAAAGAAAAAAAAAATGAAAAAAATAAAGTACCCTTTAACCTGAACTAGGTTCAAAAATATTAAGTCAGCAGACTTATAACCTATCTTAAATTATTCTCTCTTTAATATTATAATCTATTCTTATTGCCTCATAATAGTACATCAATAGCTGTTTGCATCTTCTTATATCGCTATAAAACTAGTTTCAACAAAACAAGTAAAACAAAATATATGTTTCTATATATTTGTTTTCTATTTTGTTTATTTCTATAGTTATGCATCCAATGGAGTACGTTTAAAAATAGATATAATAACTAATGCTAATCTTTTATAGGAGAGAACCTAAATTCTCTACTTTTGTCAATATGGATAAAAGGCTAGTGAGAAAAAGCTTGTAGTATATAGTTATTTTCCAAGACTTTAAGGAATGTATAGACAAAATATTTGATTGTTCTCTTGTTTCTTAAGCTTTCTTTTACTAACTTTGTTGACAAAGAGCTTTGTCTTAAAAATTCTTTACCAAAATTTTTTATATAAGAGCTCTACCTCCTGCTAGTTATCTTATATAATATCATTTTTAGCTTGTATGCTAAATATACAAAGAAGTCTCTAAAAAAAAGTAAAACTCTAGTTAACCTTTGTAAAAACTGTTATTGTAAAAGAGTCTTTTTTATCATACTCTAATAAAATTTTTGTTTTTTGCTTTTTCAGTTTTTTTGAGAAAAAGGATCATTAGAAAGAGTTGATAGCTATATTATATATATTTATTATTTTTTATATTTGTTTTATTTTGTTATTATTATAGTATTTATAGTTTAACTTGTTAGTAAAATTCTCTAATATATTATTATATTTATATAATATAGTATGTAATTATAAATATTTTTATTATAGGTCTAGTAATCTTAGTATAGTGGTTAGGTTGCTAGACCATTATACAAGAGGTCTAGAGTTCAAATCCTACTATCAATAAATTTGAATAATTACCCAGACCTTTGTACCTAACTTATAGTAAACCCTGTCTATTTCTGGGATTGTAACCCTATAAATTATGCTGCACTAATATCATTCAGATTAGAGCCTGTACCCGTTATAAATTTCTACTCCGGGTTACTCACCCGTTTACAAGATTATTGCCGGGTTACAAACTGGGTTATTTAAAATAACTCGAATAACCCAGTTTACCCAGTTAACCCGAGTTATTTGACACAGTATAACATATTTCTTATACAACATTTTGCTAATTTGATTGGTTAAATAAATTCCAATTTTTCAATTTTACCAAAGCTCGTGTTTACTTAAGTACCTAAAAAATAATACTCTCACGATTAAGACCCAGTGGTATAACTATATTGATTATCGCTTTTCATATGATATATTTACTCGGTTTTTCTCGCAGTACCCTTAGGTACTATTCAATTAAAAAATGAAGTTCTTGAATAAAACCTCGGGTACTGTATGCAGTAACCAACAATAATTATATAACATTAAATAAATGCGCAATACTGCAGTTTACAAAGCATTAGTGATGAGCAAATCATGATTTTCCCAAATATCCCGTGCGGGATGCGGCTTACGCGTGTGATCTGCACGTGATACGCGGGATAGAGACTACCTTGTGGGTTTCTTAAAATTTTGTTAATACGGGCCAGCTGGCCTGAATTAGAGAACATATAAAAAATCACGCGCAGGATCCAAAAACGTGCATTTTGCGCGCGTAATCTGAATGTGATCCAGCACGAATCCTGCGCGTGCCCATCACTACAAAGCATAAAGACCATTATTGTACGTACAAGTATATGAGTCGCCAAGGGAAAACCTCGAACCAGGAATTTAAGTTTATTCCCGGTTCGAGGTTTTCTCTTAGCAGCACTAATATGTGGATTTTAAATATATATTAATAAGCAGCAGGTATAAGATTATTCACCATGACTTCCTGATTGTTAGTGATGGGCATACGCGGGATCACGCGCGGGATTTTTGATATGATTCCCAATTCAGGCCAGCTGGCCGCGTATCATGCACGGATCACGCGCGTAACCCGCATCCTGCATTCCGCGCGGGATATTTTGGAAAACCGTGATTTGCCTATCACTACTGATTGTAGACGTTTTCGCACAGCAAGATTCTTTTGAGAGAAAATAAGCTTACTCAGACAATTGGCCAGTCATACGTATATGCTACGTTTATAAAATAAGGAGTAATTGACCTATAATATGTGCTGTAATATATGCATCATTAACCCCATCGTGAGTAACCAAGTCACCTGGTTAGCAATAGGTTAACTCGGTTAACAGACCTTATACGGGTTACCCGAGTAACTCTTATACGGGTACAAGCTCTAATTCAGATATTAGAAATATAATGAGGCATTTGGAAAGATGTAATATTACTAAATAAATCTTGATATGATCTACAGGCAGAGGATCTGCATAGTAGAAATTCTGAGTTAGTAAAGTAGTACAGCTTTCAAAGTCATACTAGCTAATGCTTGATCCAGAAGGATAGTGTGCTTAAAGACTTTGATTAGATTAGATGTATATAAGTCTGTATCGCAGTAGAGATCACTATATGTTATAGTTATACCAATCTGGTTTGGCCGCTAACTAGATTGGGAGGATCTAACTTGTGATAGGCCTTAGCAAGATCTCAAAATAACATTAATGAAGAGCAATAGAAGAAACTAGAGTTGTATGAACATCTACAAGGGTCTAAACTAGGTGAGTTCATAAAATAAGTACAGATTACTCTAGTAGGTATGCTTCAAGATTAACTAGCTCTGCAGATATTCTCAATATGTTGAGTATAATATAACTCAAGAGGACCTAAGCTAAAGTTAATAAATAGATCTGCAATGAACTAGCTGGCATAAGTAGTTAGGTGTTATAGTAATATTAGTTTATAACGATATGAGTTAGTTGAACAGAGTGTTTAAATAGGTAACTCACAGGTAGGTTACAGGTATAGCAGCATAGTATAGTACTAACAGGTAGTCTAATGCCTACATAATGGACTACTTAAATTAGACAATGACTAAAGTTGTATATATAGCTTGTTGTATACTCTTTATGTAATTACAAACTGTAGAGGAACTCCATGTGGGACCTCGAATATCAAACTAATAAAATTCACTCAGCAATGTAAGCTACCTTAATAACAAAAAAAAAATATTTTTATTATAAATAATAATTATTAATTTATTTCTGCTGCTAAATATCAATTATTTCTAATTTAATCTTAGTTAGATTAGAAAGAACCTGGTTTTGACAGTCTAATTTGTTTGTTTTAATACTAAGGCTAGTATAATATATTATACTTAAATACACTTTATAATAGTTAGATAATATTAAATTTAAGAAATTAGATAGATTCCAAAGTATTAAGATTATAATATAATAAGTAGTTTGTAATATATTAACTATTTAATAAAGTTTATAATAAGAATATCTAAGAAAAAATTATAACCTAGCAATTGCATTATAAATTTGTAATTTGACTTTATATTTTTTGATTTTGTTTAACATATTTAACAATATTTTAAAATCTATTTTGCAATCTTAATGATTAGAGAAATAGCTGTTTGTAAAATAAGATAAATTCTTTTATATTTTATTTAACTAAAATACTACAAAATACCATACGACTCTGATAATTTCATATTTAGCAGTTTATTGTTAGTTAGAAAGATTATATTTATAACTTTATTAAAGCCTCAATTATATTTGAATAACAAGAATTTTTAAAGATTTGAATTATACAATTTTTAATTTACAATTAATGTATAAAAGTAATTCAATAGAAATATACAAATTATTTTAGCTAAATATTTTTGCAACCTTAACAAAGATTATTTGACAAAATTTATTCATATTTAGCAAATAAATTTTTAGGATTTTAGAATTAATTTAAAAAAAAATAGGAAGTACTTGTTAGGTAATTTTTGTTTAAGGCTAAATTTTTTTAAAAAAATTTAGTACATTTATTACATTAATTCGATAATTCCTCTTGCTATAGCTAACAACCATGCGAATAGTATTTAGATTAGTGGACTATTTCTTAAGTCGAAGACCTCCTTAACCCATCAAGCATACCACGAACACAATTGAATAATAGGATAATATCAACTATAATATTTGGTTTTTACCTTTATTGAAATTTAAAAGCATATAAGCATATAAATATTTCATAGAAGTGTATTTTATATATCTGTAAAATTTTTTTGTATTCATCAGTTTTTAAATTAGATTAATTCTTATAAAAAAAATAAATAAAGTTTTATCCTTAAAAAAAAAAAAGAAAAAAGAAAAATAATAACACATTTCTTATTTACACAGATTATTCAAAAAATCAAAGATCAAAATATTGCTACAAGCTATATGTTTTAACCTTGAATAATAATGAATAAATGAGCATACGTTGTCTTATATTTTACGATTTTTAGATGTTTTATTTTGTTACAGAAAAAATTTTTGAATTAAATGATTAATTCAAAAATAAAAAGTCTTTAAAAAAAATATTATTACTTTTTATAAAAATATTTTATTTTAGCAAAGCAACTGCCTTCGACCATAATATAGATGGATTCTGAATACAATCTTGATCGTAATACAATCTATATTTAGCTGGATTATATAGAAATTCCAATGGTTGGTCAGGGAGTATTTTACTATAAACTTCTGTATAAGGAAGTGTAATATATGCATCCAAAGGAAAAGGTTTAGGTATCAAATTATTGTTCGATGAATTTAATCCCAATATCAATGATGAATTGATATAGAATCCTCCGGGAAAAGAAAAATATGATAGCGATGTGTTTGCAATCCCACCAACTGCTACAGTAGACACATTATTCTCAGCTGCAAGTTCAGCTATAAGAGCGCAAGCTGATCCGCACACACCATTTGTCAAAATAATAATGTCATTAGATGTCCAAGGAATTGGTGTTTTCAAATATTGTGCTATAAAACTAGTGAGTAAATCTAAAATATTTGGAGAAAACTTATTTGAATAACTTTCCGTAATATTACCACGTGTGTAAGAATTATTACCAATTAGATCATTATTAGTTGATATAAATTCAGTTCTGTTAAATAAAACACCATTGTCTAGTGCAAATTCAAGTGATTTAGTGGCTCTAAAATCATAATCAAAGAAAGGATTGGCTTTTGGAAATAAGATCAAGCTGATAAAGGCACTAACTGCAATCGAACCACCAAAATTATTAGATAAATCAAGAACGACCTTTAATTAATAAACGTTAGTAAATAATATGTGAATATTAAAGAGTTCTTAAAGTTCATTTATTTACCTTCTTAACTCCCGAAGTTGCTAATTCTTCAAATCCTTTAATTGTATTTATAGCTACAGTGTCATTTAAAATGACTTTTTCAGTAAATATTTTAACAAATCCAAGACTATCATTTTTGAAAAAACTAATAAATTCAGGGATAGTTCTGGTTGTGGTTATATTTATAGATTTCTCTGGGTAATAATGATCACCCTTATATTCTTGAGTAATATCGAAAATTCCAATACTCTGTGTTTCATTTAACCCTCTTTGGGATAATGTTTGATTTGTAGTAGAGATTTTGCAACGATTTTTTAAAAAAGTATTCGAATCATTAAACAAGTTTAAAATTTCAGGAATACTCATGGCTATCCAAAATCTGGTAATATCCTTTACAGTATTATTACAATTGAGTTTATACGTAATGTTTGATGTTGGTGGTAAAGTTAATCTATATGAAAATGAGTTGTCAGCATCAACATCATCAAGAGCTATATTAAATCGCACACCAATGTCTCTTGAAATAAAAACAGAATCTCGAGCAAATTCGTAAATCACTTGAAATGCTTGAATGCCATCAATAAGAGTTACTTCGCAATCATTGTTAGAGGGATCTATAGAATCATTACGGACTTTTATAGTCTAATATTAAACCATTTGTATAATTAAAATAGATTCTTATTTTTTTTTTTTTTATGAATAAATTGTTAATCGTAGATTACCTGAATACCATTTGTACCAATAGTGGAATATAGTGTTATATTGGAAAAAAAAGCGAATGTTGAAAAACAACTTGTCACAAAATTTGTGTGCCCATCTTTCAATTGATTAGTGACATTTTTAACGTCGGTCTATATACGTATTATAACAATACTATTAAATATATAAAAATAAAATTGGTAAACTTAAAAAAATTTAAAGGTAAAATAATTACCATAAATTGAACCAAAGTTCCATAAGTTTTGTTTAATAAACGATCTAACTCAAATGTTATATTCATTGAACTATAATTAAATCCATTTGGTGGTGGATTTCTTGCCATGTCCAAAAAAGGATAGAATCCGTTAAAAATTCCATTTAATGTTTGAATCGTCTATAATTTTAGAGATCAGAAATGTGTTAAGTAACGTATACCATACATAGCATATTTAACGATTAATGTAATACCTGATTAGCAACCCCTACATCATATTGGATACTCTTGTAGCAGTTACTAACGTCCGTATAATTAAAAATCCTTGAACCTTTTGTCGTATAATCATTATGAATATTTGCGCATCCGTCATTAGACTGGCCAGTCGTAATGGATATGAAAATAAGTATAAATAATATAGTATATGATTTCATATTGGGCCAAAATGAAATTTTCTTTATATCCTAGAATTCATGCGCTTTAAGTTTAGAATTTTTTTGATTGATGACAGTGTAGTGCCATGTTTACCTAAATAATTCACATCTTGTCCTTTTATAAACATTTCAAGAATATTACACAAGTTTAAAATTATTACCTAAAATAATAATAAATATCCTTCAGCATAATACATACAATATGTATTTTATACATTTTAAGTAGTTACACTCCAATTTAGGTATTTAGGTTGTAAACTAAAAAACAAATAAAATGTAGATAATTAACAAATTTAGATGGAATTTCTCAAATAGAACAAATTTGTAAATGAATGTCCTAAATTATTCGCGCCAAATTTCCATGTTAATCGCTTTACAACGTCGTACGCTATAATCCAAGGGACGCCGTAAGTTTACATATGGGGTGAGTGCTGCGAAAACGACATTTATCAAATCACGTGTTAAACGTAAATGTCAATTTCCTCCCTTTTCGCATCACTCAGCCCATATTACTATTACGTATACACCTACAAGAATGAACTAATCAGAATTTCGATTTACTTGATAGTTGAACTGATGAAAAAAATTCAATGTGCGCATGTGCGCTCCGTACATAAATTTGGTTTGAGCACTACAAATATATATATAAGTGCGCATCCCGCACAGAAATTTTCAAATTAATGTGCGCTAAACATAATTTTTGGAATACTATTAATAGAAGTGCAAAGCGCACATAAAGTTAAAATTAGATGCGCAAAAGCGCACCTAATTTCGACTTTGAATTTTTTACAATGATCTCTACTCCATTAGAAGAGTGTAATGATATTGTATGTGAATCAATATATGAATAAACTTTATCAGAAATGTACAAAGCCAAAGATCGTAATCATTTAATTCTCATGTGTTTACGTATTTGTAATAAAATATTCTGAGCCATTTGGGTATTAGCGAAAATGGTTGTACGCATCCTGATCAGGATATTATTGATTAATTCCCCATGATCTATATTGATTTGGGAATACTTAAATATTTATGATTCAATAACTAATATCCAACTTTAACCTTAAACTGGCGTTGTTGAATCACGGGATTCGAAGGCAAGATAAGTAATTTATACTTTAGTTTTACTGTATTTTTCTTATATTGTTTAAGCCAAACTAATTTGGTTCAATATTTTACATTACCCCTTCCTCCCCCCCTCTTTTCCTCATAAAAAGAATAAAATAAATATACTAGTGATGCAGGCAAATCGTCCTAATGATTGCGTAACTTTGTCGTAACTATCTCTGTAATATAAAATAATTATCATGAGTTACGGTATTTTTGTCGAAACTTTATTATATTATGACAAGTTACGGCGATTCGTCTGCACCTTTAAAATATGCATAAAGTTAATGAAAAATTTTATGATGTAACTCCGTATACCCTCCACCCTTTCAAAGTGGAGATGTAATGTAAATTACCAAATTCTTGTCCTAGTCAGAGTCCTTAGAATTGATAACTTGAATTAATAATATAAACTAACGATATCGGATTTCACGATGTTATTTAGAATTACTCAATAAATTCTACAGTTTATAATAAACAGGATTATTTATCAGTTAAATCTCATTTACTTAATAATATATTCGCTTTTAGACATATTATTCGGATTTTACTAAACAAATCAATTTAAAGGCATCAAATTAAAGTAAGGGAAGTTCCAAATTTATTAGCTTTCTAGAACAGTTATACATATTCTAATTCTTAATATTATTACTCGATTATTTGGCAACATATCAGCGAGTGGGGTCAAAATCAAGTATGGATTATATAATTTATCATGTCCCATAACGTCATTTTCAAGGCAAAGACTCCATGTGTTCACCATATTGTGCTATTAGTCTCATGTGTTATAAAATAAATTGCACATTGACCACACTTCCGTGTGGGTTCCGTTCACTTCACCGACACTCATTTTACCGAAAAGGTTATATTAACTCGATTTAGGGTTATGTTAGTGTTAACCAGTTTTATGGTGAAATGAAATGACTGTCCAAAAATGAATTGACAAAGACTTTGTATAACCATACACTTCGTGAAATTTATATATAAAAATCCGTTCCTGGTATTTCTAAATCATTTACCTTACAATTTTATTTTAATATGAATTTATTCTCTAATGTTTTTTTTATCATTCTTAGCTCAGTACGTTTTTTTGCTATTTGTCAAAATTTTCCTAATGCTCGATTTTCACAGGCTAGTACACTAGTTAGTACTAGATTTTATTTTTTTGGTGGAGCAACTCTTACAGACGAATCGAATGAAGTCTGGTATCTTGATTTATCAAATTCATTTAACGTAACTAT